TAGCTTTATTTTGAAGAAAAATAAATTTCGGTCAATCGATCTGACCTGCTGGCGATCGACGCAAACATTGCGTCTACAATTCTTAAAAGCCTTGAATACGAGTTCTTGAAAAGATTTTTGACCCAAGGGTGACAGCAGTCATTTTGAAAACTCTCCATCCTTTCAAATATCCTGGACTTGGAGTGACGTCTTTCGAATAAATGAAAACTTCATTTATCAACTGTCCGCCATGTTTACATGTCGACATGGCAAAGATGAGGAGCTTAGTAACCAAGCTCTAGCGGGGTGAATATAGCGTCATATAATGAGCTTTTCGACCAATCGGAATGTTCAATTCTTACATTCACCTCTGGAAATTATACTAATTGCTGCGGAGTGAGCAGCAATATAATCAGGATTTAAGAAGAATATATTAAAGGGGGTACGAATTTTCGAATTCATCATTTTTTACCAGAATGCACTGCATTTAATCAGAGTGCACTGGGCCACTCTTTACTAGAGTGCATTGCGCTACGAACAACACGAGGATCTCCTTTTTCGCGTGGGGTTAGTGGTTATGTTTTGCTCTGATCTGTAAAACGATGTGAAGGAGATCGTGCTTGACTTTCACAGCTCTTGCTTTTGTTCTTAATGCAGTATGTGAAAATTTGTAAATCTGGACGATTAATTGTGACATCTTAATTTTAAACTTAGTATGTCATTTCTTAGCAGTCTCGCCTCCTTGGCCGAATTCTTTAGTGAAGAGAAATCGTCGTTACTAAGGTTGTAGAATAATTAAAACAAACGAAAACCGTAGAACACGCTAAAATCATATATGCTGCGATCTATTCCTTTTTATCGAAACATGAATTTAAGCTTAAGCTTTAGCATTTTCACACATCGCGATGGACGCGTCCTCGACACAATCTGTCAACATTCTAGAGACATTTAATGCGTACCAGTACAGAATTTATTAGTTAGATTTCTGTTCCTACAATTTCCATATCTCTCGATTTTCGCGATCTGGTAAAGTGGAGGTTGATATGTATCGCTCTATGTCCAAGCATAGTTCAGATGACTATGTGCTTTTTTGTCTCGATCCCTTGTCACACCTCGCCATCGATGCGTCATCACGCATGAAGTTGATGCATACAAGGGCAGATTTTAAGTTACACGCCACGATTTGACACTACTTTAAGTAATAAAGGTTAATGTAAGTCTTGGAATGCGCAGGTAGATGAATCACTGCGTAAAATATGTCACTATCAACAGAATATGCCGCAGCATTACTATCTTTTAGATACCGTAGTACTAATTATTAATTAAAAATTATTCGCCGAAGGCTCAGTGAACATTGGTGAATATTCACCAATGTTCACTGAGCCTCAGCTGAATAATTGTTTTAGTATAATTTTCAGAGCTGTACAAAGCGGACTACAGAATAACGGACTAAAACATCAAAACACAGACGCAATTGTTCGTTTGCGTACACGTATGCAGCCGTAGTTTTAATAATAAGCTTACACGTACATCGATTGTGAATCGATATGATGTCTTTCGAATAAATGAAAACTTCAATCAGCATTTGTCCGCCATGTTTACTTGCCGAGATGGCAAAGATGGCGAGCTTAGTAACCAAGCTCAAGCGGGGTGAATATAGCGTCATATGATGAGCTTTTCGACCAATCAGAATGTCCAATTCTTATATTCACCTCTGGAAATTATACTAAAAACTTTTATTTCCGTTTTAATTTCGGATGTTTTTCATTTCTGTTTCCGATTTCATTTCTCTTTGGCTTTAAACCTGTACAGATGTATATTTTTTGGTTTTTATTTTTGTTTCACGTTATTTTTATTCTGCTTTGTCTTCCATTTTCATTTACTTTTTTTCTCTTATATATTCTCAGATTTTATATAGCATTTAACTATTATATGTTGCAACTTTTAAATGTAAATTAGGGGCCTATGTCTAATCTCTTATTTCTGGTAATTGCTTTGGTCCAGAGCTATATATGGTCAATAAACTGTCGTGACCCTTCCAATGGGTAATTTCGCCTATAAGACGTGCCGGCAAGGAATCATGGCCGATTGGCTGCTTCCATTGCTGCTTCCGTCTATTGAATTGAAAAATAATTTAATATACTTGCTACAAGTTTTTTTTAACCTGTTACAACAATGTGATTAGCCATTTAACTTTTAAGTCTTCAATTAGCAAACGGTTGAATTTTACAATAATTTAGTGCAAATTTCTGTATGATCTTTTTATATCAAAAAAATAGCTTCGGAAGAACTAAGGGCTGGTCATCCACACGGATAAATCATGAAGCGATAAAAGTACCTCTTTATTTATCACATGGAAATCACTTACTACGAAATTGAACCAATTTTTCGAATCAAAATTAACTATGATTAAACAATGTGTAGAAAAGCGACGTCAAAACAGTTTCCGATTCTAACTCATTTCTTGTTTTTTGCGCTGTTCTGCAGGTTTATTTGGTCGATTTTCCCACAAATTGATGAATAAGATTAATATATGTCTTGCTATCTGCGGGTGTGAACTCGATTCATTCTTTATTCCACCCATTTTTACGCTCTAGTTCATCCCTTAATAAGTGCGAGCTAAACCCGGGACAAATCCGAATTTATAAACTTACGTGAACAAGTTTATCCAGTTTATGATTGACAGCCGTCTCTTTGACAAGGACCATAACTTCATTAACTGCATCTTGGACTGCCGGTTGCGTGCTATTTGAAGTCGCAAAAGGCTGGAATAACTCACTAGGTATTGGCTAGAGGAAAAAAAATATTGTAACCAATGGTAATTTTCACTTAATAAATTTAATTTTTCCCTCTATAAAGTTTAAGTTAAGCGGTTGTCAACAGGCTTACTTGATGAAAGTATATTTTACGAAATATTATAATCCTTAATTTTTTTTTTTTTGACAGTAAAGTAAAAAAAAAGTTAAAAACAAAACAAAAAGAACAAAAGCAAACAAACAAAAATTCCATGCTTACTTCAGTTCACTGTTAATAATGACGTGTTATTTGAAAGCGTTTCGTGTCCTTTCGTTTTCGTTGCACCACGATTTTTAAAATAGCCTTTTGATATTTCGTTAGAAAGCAAGCTAGATGGAAATCCGACCACACACTATCGTGTGCCGGGACTGAAGACGCGGTTGAGCAAGTAGTGGTGAACTTAGATAATTTCATACTTTCAATCGGGTAGATTTTGAACAATTTCGTTGTGAAATCTCCTTCCGCCAAGGTCTGTATGGGGTTAAGTTAAATCCCAATATTCAGCTCATTGCCTTAAAACGTTTCATCTTTTTACGAGCTCTCAATACTGAACACCTATACTCCCAAATTGGAATATATTATATTGCAACTAAATGTAAACATTTCAAAAGGAACAAGTATTCAAGAAAACCAGATGCACATCTAAAATACATTGATACCAAAGCGATCTATTTTTTGCCTACCTCATATTTAAGAGTAAAAATTAAGTGGTAACTTGCTAGCAAGATCTAGGTAAAAAAGCATACACAAACCTTCTTTGAGTCTATGAAGGCAATGGAAGCTGCTTTAGTGACCAAATTATCCAATATCATTGACGAAATATCAGTTAGTTTTTCCTCACAATAAGAGCTCTCTTGTAAGAAACCTACAATGTAAAGGGAAAAAAGAAAGAAAAGACCGTACAAAATTTCCAGAAATATCCAACAAGGCAATGCAGAAGCAGAGGCTTACAGAATAGTTAATAACAATGCAGTTATATGAGGCGATATAAATGGCAAGGATGAGAAGAAGAAGCTGGAGAATGATGAAAGTGAACCTCATTTTCAGGCCGAGTATGATATGCGAAAAGCAACGAGGTAACGATAAGTAACGATTAGTATTGTATTGGTGTAATTTTTAGTATTGGTGTAATGTATTGCTGACTGATTTATTTTTGAAATGAATAGTACGATAACAGCGAAACAGATCACTTTTTTAAGGTAGTGGTAAAACATTCGTTTGTAAAGAATTTCCTCACAGAATACTTACTTATACTGATGTAAATGGAAGCAGCCTTTTCACTGAGCATATTTGTATAACTGCTGGATATCTTTACCTCAAAAATTAGGCAGGCAAGTCTGTAAGCCCTGAGATGTTCTACTGTAGGTCGTGTTCCTGTCTTTAAACCCTTTTGGAGTCTCTTTAAAATAATGTCAGCTGCATCAACCCATTTGCATCTCTAAAGGACACCGATTGCCTGTTGCTGCTCATTGTATTCTCAGTTGCTCGCTGGTCTTGGATAACCTTCCTCTCGGAGATCACAGCAAGCCTTGAAACGCAAATAAGAGTTATAATGTACCAAAGAAACATGGTTTCCAAGAATAAAGATTCTTTATGCTTATTCGTCACTCAGTAGCATTTACTGAGACGAGTCGCTGGCTGAACAATGTAGCACTGTCTCAAAGCTTCCCTGCTGTATTACATAAAAAGCCGAATCAATGCTCATGATACACATATAAACACATTGTTTTTGCCGTGCTAACATGGGCAGAACAGGGAGAGAAAATTTACATTCGTTGCCCGTCTCAATCTGCCATCTCTCTTTAACGTATTTTACAATGTGATGACCCAGTCTTGATTCTGGTGGATCCAGCATTTTATATATTTGTCAAGTTGTACGCTATAAAGTACTTCCAAACCCTTCCCACCAAAATGCCACTTGCCAAGCAACCCCATACACTTAACTTGCACAAAAATATATGTCAACAGCAACTATTATCTCCATCATGTAACCTCAAATGTTGCAAATGGTGCAGTAAAAATGACAATGTTTCATATTGCCATTTTTCTTACCTTTCTCTAAACTTGT